AAAGGGTTTACTGTTCTGCTGCTGAGTTTGTTCCTTGTTACTGTGTGATAATGTAATGTATGTAGATATTTTAATTTGCATGCAGACTCTTTTATATTCTGTAGCAAAGTTTACTGTCTGTGGTGTGACCAAAGATCATAACTGTTAGTAATTTTAGGGAGTATATGTTTTCAAATAACATACATTTGTTAGGGTTTTGAACCCATGTTAAATGTTATACTTCAATTCTCTGTGAGCAAATACTTTTATGAATTCTGTCTATTTTCACCCCACATATTTTGAATATTGAAAAATTAAAATATTAAATATTACTTGGCTTTCATCATTGCGCTTCCCTATTGAACAACTGGAACTGGAACTAAAGGAAATATCGCGGTGACGAAAACGTATGTCGCTCATGGAAACGGCGCCTCGCGCCTCTTTTTCAGATTGTCGTCTGCTCATAACTTCCTGCTTCCTCTGGGCAAAGTGCACAGCTAGCAGCCGATTCGCCGTCGTCCTAGACGGCATACATTCCATGCAAGACATTCCTACGACATAGAATTATGGACAAGATACTAAAGGGAATCATGAAATATCGTTTCACGGATAGGAAGACGATGGTCGAGCAGTTTAAACAAGTTGCTAATAACCCAACGGTAAGAGGGATGAAGTGACATGCATGTCCAAAGTGTCGTCTGCACTGACCTACATTTGCCCGAGATTTCTACTTTTCACCAACTGCCGTAACCTTTTCACAAGTACAAAAAAATGATTTAAATTAGCCTTATGCCAAAATATTAAAAGCTATACTTGCGGCGTAATGGTTTTTGAACCATCTGTTTTTCTGCGAACCTGATAAGTGACTTTTAAGTCACCGATTTACATGAAGTATAGGTTTGTCATGTTGCTTTACTTGCTGATTTGGTTCTAAATGTAAACATCTGGCTAAGGTTAGATCGTCCATGTAGATGTACTTTGAACCCTTTTCGTTAAATATTTACAAAGTATGATTCTTTAATCGGCTTGTTATTAGACTCCAAACCATCTTAATATTTCTTTAAAAACTTTATAACTTGATGACATTTCATAGAATGGTCTGTAACCATGGAAAAAGGAGTATGCCTTGTCAAGTTAGTTTTCATGCCTCCATTTTCAAAATGTAGAAATTGATCTTTTTCCAATTATACTGTGAAAGTTGAGATCTAGATTTTTAATTTTGATTGTAGCCTAAAGCGGTTTTTTTCACCTGCATGGACAGTAGAATGATTCCCACAAGATTCACAGAAACAAATGTCGGAGACATGTTTGTAGGTATGTAATCTGTCCTCTGTTCTTGGATTTGCTGAAATTACTCGTGAAGTTGTGAGAGGCTTTTTGTAACCATAACTAAAATGTTTGATTTATCACAGTTCGTAATGCTGGGAATATAATTCCTCATTGTGGACACTTCCTTGATGAGTACCATACAAATGAGCCAGCAGCTTTGGAACTTGGTTGCATAGTCAATGATATTCGCCATATTATTGTCTGTGGTCATTCAGATTGTAAGGTAATGTTTTATTTTAATCAATATATTTTTTTAAAGGAGTTGTAGATTGACAGTTCTTAGCAAGTTCATTTTATGTAATTCATTTCCAGGCCATGAATTTGCTCTATGCTTTGCGAGACGCAGAGATGTCTTCTCAAACCAACCGAAGACTTTCTCCGCTTCGATCTTGGCTCTGTACTCATGCCCATTCATCACTGGAAAAGTTTCAGCAGTTAGCTTTAACTGGGTACCATAGCCCTTTAATATTTCAGGCTGAAACTCCAATGCGCAAGTTCGTTGCTTACATTGACCCAGATGACAAATTTGCTATCCCAGATAAGCTATCTCAAGTCCATTGTCTGCAGCAAATGCAAAATATTGCTAGCTATTCTTTTCTGAAACCACGTTTAGAAAAGCATGAGTTGCATATTCATGCTCTCTGGTTTGATATTTATTCAGGTGATATTTATTATTTTAGTCGTGGTGAAAAACGCTTTGTGGAAATAAATGATAGCACCATTGATCCTCTACTAAAAGAAGTAAAGCGGTATTATTCATGATTTAGTGCACTGTGATATTATTCATGGTTATTCTATACTGCCCAGTGGTCAGCAAGCATGACATTTTTGAAATAGTTGTTTCTGTGTTGCCTGCCAAACTGTGCCAAATGATTTAAAAAAAAACAAAAACTTTTGAGTAACTTGCTAAACCAACTAGCTATTTTATTGTTTTACTGTTTCTTATTTTACATTTTTTTTACTTGCATTGTTATCTTACAACATTCCATTTGTTGCTCTGATTAGCTGTAATATCAACAAAAGCATTCCTTTTTCTCAATGTCTTCCAGCAATAATTGTCTTCCTCTCTATATTTTTAATTTATTGTAAATAATATGAGTAGTTTTTGTGCATTTTTCTCTTGACTGTTGCGTCTAGTGGCACATAATAACCAATTGCCGAACTCTCTCCAAAAACATTTCATGACACCATTCCTTTATAATGTTTTTTAAAACCTGAAAAATGATGTTCATTGTTAGAGATATTGTATATTTTCTTTAATTACTGTTTTGTGATGACTGCTGTGATGAAGTGTTCTTATTACTTTCTTTTTAAATGATTAGAGGTTTTAAGTGTTCAAATTTTTGAATGTGAACTGTGGAGTTGTTGTTTTTTTTATTTTTGTGTCAGATGGTACGAACTAACTCTTGTATTTATTATTGCAATGATGAAGGTATTTGGCAGAGTGGATGTTTACATGACTTTTGGTCAGATGAAGTTATTTCCAAAATAAATGCACATCTTCAAGGAAATTCCAATGTTATCTCTAGTCAGCATTCTTTTCAATTACCTTTGAGAAATGAGCATTTTCAACGCGTATACGTGGAATCAAGCCACAGTGTATATGCATCAGATAACAGCGAGCTGCGCGGACTTTGCTGCATGTGAGTGTTTCCATCTGGGTTGCCCGCCTCCAGATAGGCCACCCATTCGACACATCTTTCTTCGCTTCTCGCGAGGTTCGCCTCTCCCATGGGATGGGGGGCTGTTCCCACATTGCACGTAGGGTTTAGGACTCCACACACATCACGTAGAATTTGGGTCATTCGAACAATTTGCCGTGTTTTCAAAGAAAATTTACAGGGTACCGATTGGACTGCACCATAAATTTGAGAACAGCGGCAGCTGGAGGATAACGACAGTCGACCGTTACCGGTCTTAAGTTAAGCCCTTTCAAGGCTGCGGCCCTTCTTACCGACCCACCCGGCTGGAGACTCCAGGACCGGGATGTACCCCCCCCCCCCTTTCCCCTTCCTTTCCCTTACCTCCTTCTTCGAGGTGTTCCAGGCCCTAAGCAGGTACACTGCTTGCGAGGCTACGTCATTTTCATGTTTGAGTTGCTCACAACTAACGGGAGGACACCAAGTAAATAGCTCCGGCCCCAAATCATTTCTACCCGTATAATAATTTTCGTACAACCTACATGTCTGTATTCCTCCCCAAAACGAAGCGAGCAAGAATTTCTAGTTCATTCGCTGATCAGATTCGGCCCGATTACGAGTAGTTCCGAACAGAGCGAGGCGTATAATGGATCATTTACCAGGGAGGGACGACTATCCTGGTAGGGTGCTAGGGCTCCAGCAAGCGATTCGCAAGCTCGGCGGCTTGGGAATTCTCCAGCAGAGCGATCACAGGCGGGCCCTTTCCTTTTCTCAGGCTCCAGCTGCAGCTCCAGCAGCCCGTCCTGGAGGCGGCCTGGACGCGGCCTGGAGGCGGCCTGGAGGGGGGCGCTGGCGCTGGTCTTCCCTCTCTCTCGCCGCCGCTCGCTCCGTCTCTTTCCATTTCTCCGGGCCGACCGGCCGGCGCGGCGGGGCCCGGCTCGGCGCGGCTCGGCGCGGCACAGGAGGCTCAGGCACCGCAGCTCTCTCGCTTGGCCTACAATGCGGGCGCGGCGCGGCGGGCGCTTCAAGAGTTAACGACCTTGCTCCAAGTAGGTCAAGAAACAAGGCCAGGGAGTAGTCGAGGCTCGGCCGCCGGGCCTGAGCTGAGCCGGGCCTGCCCCCACCTCTCTCCGGCCCGGCCCAACGCGCTGCCCCCTCCATTCTGGTGCGCCGCCTCTTTCTTCGGCCGCCCCATTCTCCTCTCTCCTCCTTTCTCCCTCCTCTCTTCTTTACTTACATCTTTCTTCTCCTCCTCTTTGGTTCTCTCCCTCCTCCCTCCTTCCCGACAGGCGCGGCTCCGAGTGTGTTCAACCTGCGGCACGGCGCTGTGCGGTTGTCCGGGGCATCCTGGGCCCCTTTGTGGGAAGGAGCCTGTCTGGAGCGTCTTCCTGCGGGGTCTCCAGGGGTCTCCAGTCCAACTCAAGCGCGTCTCCATGAGGCCCCTGAGGGGGGCTGTTAACCCCCTTCGCTTTGCACACATCAACGGTGTTTTATATATTCGCACTGATGCATGGGTTTCAGAATTCGTATTCGATGTTTCCAGATCTTATTCACAGCTCACAGCCAACTGCTATCTGTTGACTCGAAAGACGAATTCTGCTAGACCATCATCAATTTGTTCTGTTCTCTTCTGGAACACAAACGTTCAGCCAGGCATTCATTTCTGAGGCATCTACCCAGTATAACCTTTCAGGGGCCTAGCTCACCGCGTGGCTACCAAATTCTCGTCAGCGCAGCAACGATCTCCCGGGAGGTGGCCACGTGAACAATTAGAATGTGAACGGCAGAGACAGCCGAGACGAACAATGATGTGCTGTACAGGAGAGAGGCTGCTGAAAAACGATGTGCCCAAAGCTCGATGCAAATTAAGGTCGCGTCGTAGAACGCAGGACTGATTTGTAACATTGTTAAGCGAGTGAGTAAGAAGCGGTGTTTGATTACGATGATTTATCCTCACTCGGGTTCGGTTGAACACAAAAGCGTGTCTTGTCCCCCCCCTTTTCCTCCCTCATAGACGATTTCCCCCCCTCTCTCTCTCTCTCTCTCTCTCTCTCTCTCTCTCTCTCTCTCT